AAAATGAGTGCCGTAGATTTTAGCTTTTTTAAGTATAGTATATATGTGAAACCTTAACTAAATATTTCCACTCAATATTCGGTAAAGAACTAAAGAAATCCCCGTTTTTTTTATTCCTTTACGTTCCCAGTGGAACATAGGGTTTCAAGCTAGTGACTTGAAGTTCCGGTAGCAGTAGGGTTTACTTTTACGGGATGGGGTTGCTGCTAACCTCATGCCCAGCCTTCCCATTTTTACCAGTCATATTACTGACTTAGCGAGATAAATGAGTGCATCGGCAAGGGATCGAATTCCGGACTACATGCGCGGATGGCGAACATTCTACAGCTGTAGCCAAAATTAATTTCTCCTAAGAATCATTCACTAAATAAACAGAATCATGTAAGGCACACTATCCAAATTGTATCAGTAGTTATTTCTCAATAAATGATCGAAGTGTGACATCATTCATTTTTTAAAATACATTATGTATACACAACCTTTGATCGATAGTCTAGTATTTAAAGTAAAGTGAACTTATTTTGTTCACTAAGGAAATCGAATTCATAATTCGAAGATGAGTTTACTCTAATTAGATGTAAACTCATAAATCCAACGATTTTACCCGGGGAATGGAATTTGAATCAGATAACAAGTTATTTAAGAATATTCGCCTATTCTTAGTTTGCTTAGTAATTCGACGCTGTCTCCTTCTTCAAATTGGTTAAACAGTTTTGTTATATTTTTGAATACTGGCAGTAGGGTTGTGGGAAAATCGTTATCTTTCCCCATTATCTAACTGGCACCAATCACTATCAATGGAAGGGATTTGAAAGAGGTCACCCCCTTCATTTATATAGGCAGCTAGCATCGTTTCAAATACAGACGTTGGCATGGATGAAGAGGTCGAAACCAGAGTCGGAAGGGCATTTATCACTCCGCAGTCAGTTTGCAAATCTGCTGCACTTAGCATAAAGAACAAAATTCGAATTTTCAACATCGATATTCAGTCACTTCTTCTATATGAGTCAGAGACTTGGCACGTCATGAAAAGCATTTCCAACGGCCTGCTGATGACTTTCATCGACAGCTACCTTAGCTCTATAATGAAGGTCAGATGGCCAGTGGAAACAGCAAGAAAAACGAGCCAATCATGGAACTGTTGCTTATTTTTTGATTGGGCACTAGTCAGTATCTAGTTTAATGTGTGTGTGTGCGTCTAGTGCTATCTTTGGTGCCGACTGAATTATATCAGTCAAGTTTGCAATGTGGCCACCATGCTAAGTGGCTCACAATCACGGTGCACTGTGAACTGTTGGTAATAGATGGTTGGAGGCAATCGGTAGGAAGCGGAATTTTTAAGATAGTTTTATCGGCTTTTAGTCCACCTTGTAGAGAAACAATAAGCTTGTCATTATGCTTACAGATGTAGCATGAAGTGTGCAAAGAGGTGTCCAAGCTGTTTATATATTAGAACTCAACTAATCACAACAGATCCTTCATACATCAGCTTACGAACAAGACTCATCATATGGGGGCTGGTAATACCCCTAAGACTGAAATGAGTAGAGTGGGACTCAAACCCGTGAACCATTAGCTGAAAGTGAAGTGCTTAAGTGCCAATAAGCCGCAGTCCCAACTACAAATTATTTGTAAAAGGGAAGGATGCATGTCATCAAACTAAGATTGTTAGTTAATTTATCTGTGGAATGAACTCTACTGGCAGAATTATATTTTCAAATAATGTTTCTAGTGCTTTCTTTGCTTAGATTATGCGCCACCCAATCAACCAATCAATCACGCCAGATAAGGGTATAACGGGATTCGTACAGGTGAACTATTTCTTCATAATATTCTTAACAGTTTAGACTAAGTGCTGCACTCTATTAGACGGGTTATCATAAAAACTTTAAACTTCCTATATAGTCTATATTGACTTGTATGGTCTACAAATATGTCACTAATAAACTTGTCCATATATAGATAAACAAACAAATGAAGAAAATTTGTTGTGATTTTTATTTTCAGACTTATCGATTATTCTACAAAATGCATATTTTGACAAGTGAATTCAATCGATTCGGTTTCTTATCACAGTTACACATGTTTATATGATGAATGGAATAAAATACTTCAAAGAACAAACAAAATAGCTTAGATTTAACATTTAAAATACCCTGGACAAATTGATCACTATTGCAAACATCTACCGAAGAATAAGTCCACTAGTGAACAGTTGTTTTCATATATCTCTTCTACTTTTATTTAGACCTGTTTAGACCACTTCGATGTGCATATATCAGTTCACCTGCTCGTGCGGAACTAGGTGCATTTGTCCTTCTATGCGGGTCCTATCAAAACGCGTTAGAGAACATTACCCAGCATGGCTACAAAGATGAGGCACTAGATCAATCAATAGCACCATAATTGAATACTTAGCCAACACCTCACAGCAGCTCAACTGACTCTTCATTCAGAGTCATTTACAAAGTAAACAAAAATCTACCAAAGACAGTGTGTTTCTGACCTCTTGGTACTATAGAAGCCCTCGCCATATGCTTGAAAAACCGGAGTCGCGTTTCCAAAGGAAAGTATTTCAACGCCTACCTTTGCCATGGATCTAGTTCGGTTCGTCTTCTTTGATCCCGTTTTTTCATCCCTTTATTCGTTTAACTTATTCCCAAGCTCATCTCATTCACACGTTAAAAAAACTGTTTTCTAATCCTATGTGATCTTGTTTCTAAGTCCCTTGTAATCTATATTCATACCTTCAAACTTTCAAGTCAAGTTGAAAATTATTATGACCCTTCATTACTATGTAGAATTAAATAAATCATAATTGTATCTATGTAAACTTGTGTATATAAATGCAACTGCACAGCTTTTGAGAATGAAATCGCCGAAAGGATTGCCATATTTGCTGAACTTCTTGTTCCTTTCCCTTTGTAACTATTTCTCAAATAGGACGAAATGCGCATCCTGGATTCCACTACTAGTCACCATCCACCAATTAAATATTTCTCAATGTGCTATTGAATTCAAGTATCGGATGAAGGCGGAAAGTTGTTGCACTACATCAAGAACCTTCAACGATTCAGGTGGCTAGGATATATGCCATTGATGAACATTTACTTTCTTCCTCGACGACCGAAGTCTATGAAATCATAGACTTGATATATATATACGCTGGACTACCGATAAGACTATAAAAAGTCTGGATTTCATGTATGGATGATTTATGTTTAATGTCACACAAACTCGAAGACTTGTAGGTAGGTGAAAACCAACAAACTGGCTGAAGAAGCAGCCACAAAAGACAGAACTCCAGAGGTGATGAAGATAACCGACGAACCGCAACAACAACCAGCACCAGTCACCATCAACGGGAGAAATTTAACAAAGGTTGCCTCCTTCGCTTATCTAGGGAACATCGTTTCAACTAAAGGCAGTCGCAACGGATGAAGTTGTCAAAGCCAGTCAGAATTGGAGAGGCAAGATATGCTTTCATCAACCTAAAACCAGTTTGGAAATCTTCTTGACTCAGCATAAGGAACAAGATTCGCATCTTCGCCACCAATGTCAAGTCAGTCCTTCAAAACAAGTAAGGAATTTCCAATGCGTGTTACGCAAAGGATTTCCAACAGGTTGCAGACTTTCATCAACAGCTGTCTGCCTTCGCTTGCTCCATACTGAAGATCCAATGGCCAGAAAGAATAAGTAACAAGAAACTCTGGGAACAAACCAGCCAAGAACCGATAGCCCAACATATATGTAGGAGAATGGAAATGGATCAGGCATATATTGAGGAAACTGTCGAATGACATCACTCGAGCGCAATCCAAATGGGAAGCGAGGAGTGGGTCGTCAGTGTGAGGGTGATTTGGAGGAGATCGTGTGAGAAAGAGATGAGAGAGTTTGGTCAATAGTGGACCCAGCCGAAGAGGACGGCAGAAGATAGAACAAAGTGGAGATGTGTTCTTGAAACTTCATGTTACACTCGGGAACAATAATAAAATATACATAAATTAACGTCAGTATATTTGTTGAGTTCGTAGATTTCGCCAATAAGAAGAATCATTTAAATATTATTAAATAAAACGCCTAAAATAATTTGTGAGAGCCGTTAAACTCACTTCTATCGACAAAATGTGCTCACATGCATCAACCTTATGTCGTCAGAAACTTCCTAGACTATCACAAAACTGATTAGTGATTTAACGAAATTGATAAAATTACGACAGGATGGAATGAATGATGTTGAATAATTTAATTCGACTCTAAAAATAACTTTTTCTAAAGGCTATACGACAAATGAATACGGGCTGCCAGTGAGAAGCCTCCAGGGTTACTGGACTTGAGGTGATCAGCAGTCAATCGTTCATTAGTGTATGATGCTACATACTATTGACTGATAGACATGAGTAGTTCGACGCCACTCACACCAAGTAGTAGTGATTGCTAGCCAGACAGATTTTATTCAAATGTCTAATCAATTTCACTCATGTGCATAAAAGAAGTAAAAAGTGTGAGTGACTTGATTTGATTATGAGCAATAGTTTTTGCTCGAAACGTTATCAGTTAATATTACTGTACAACATCGTGTGTTTTATCAAAATAAAGTCTTATCTATAATGGAGTTATACTCTACCACAGTGCCCAAGTTTTATACTTATATCAAGAAATGATTTAAACACCAGACAGTCGTTATGCCCATTCGGGAACAGCCTCACCAAAGGTGTACCCAGCTTGACTCCGCTCAGAGAGACAAAACAGTCCAAACCAGTTGAATTCTGGCTAGTTACTTGGGCGAACTGGCAATTTATACAATTCATGACGAAATTTCATCAGTTTCCCTTGGAAACCAAGTTAATTGGCACTGTTAACTGACAAGTGAACTTAAACAAGTGATAACCACACAATACGATGCCACATAGGCAGCAAACTGACGACTACACGCGCAGTAACTCAATATATCTCTCAGGAAGACAATAATTACAAACCAACAAAATAAACACAGTCGTCACATGTGTGAAGCAGAATACACTTTATTATTATTATTATTTTTACTTCATGAAATGTCATTTTTTTCATGATAAATTAGAACACTTAATTTTAACTAATTATATCATATTTGTCAACAAACAGGAAACTGAAGCAATGCGAAATTGCTATGTTGTGTGCAGTAGTACACCAAGTACATCAAGTGTAGATGGAGAAGAATGAAGGCAAAGAAATAACAAAAGAAAAAAGAGAGATAATGAAAGCAAACAGAAGAAAAAGGCGAAGAGGAAAAGGCAACTACTAATGACATTGTCTAATAAAAACAAAGGCTTCTCTATATATATATTTTATATTTGAACAATTATTATCAAGTAACACCTAAAAAACAATTGAAAACAAAAAGATAAAAGATTGAACAAAACAAAACTTGAAAACCAAGTTTTATTCACTTTAAACGATCAATTCAGGCTTGATACTACTAATTAAAAGAACAAATAACTGCAGATGAAATACAGAAAAGTATGTATAAAAGAATAACGTAATGATGCTAGGTGGTGGTAAATGGTGAATGGAAAGATCTGAACACCTCCTAGTTACACTTATCTACTTAGGTGTAAAAGTAGCTGCAAATTCTTTGCCTTTTTTAATATTTGCTTTCAATTCTGGAATTAGTTTCTTGAGTAATTCAATCTCGTATTCGTTCAATTTCCCAATCCCCATATTCTTTTCAACACCTGAGGCCTAGAAGAAGAGGAATAAGAAGAATAAGTTAGAACATAACACTTTGGAAATGTGATACAATAAAGGGACACTAGTGTAAAAAGTACGAAATAACAAACATCTTTATCATTTTTTATGTTACATTAATCAGGTACTGTATACAAGTAGTTGACGAGAGACAAAGGCTTCCTCCGATGAACCGATGACATTTAGCTGTCATACTAATGAATTTAAAAGCGCACCTGTCTTTTTCATATTGGAGATCAAGATACTGTCCAACACCCTTGAAAGTGCCCAGAGGAATATAATCACTAAAGTATATAAAACACTCAGCGGTAAAATTCCATTATACTCTTCAGTAGATATCTCCGCATACAACGATGCCTTACATAATCCCTTTACCTAATATCCTAGCTAAATTATTCAGAACCAAAACACTGGCTCAATCATACCTGGAAATACAAGTGTCAGGATATAATATCCACAAATCGACTGTTTTAGTTTCACATAACATTTCTAGGTGCCTGGTGAATAATACACTTATCTATCAATCGAACATGTGACATTTCTAAACTAACATCTAAGAAAGTAAGTACTCTGGACTAAATTCCCCTTGGTTGCATGAATTATTCACTCAAGTACAACTTGATCTACAGCACAGAGGACTTCTACAGTCTGAAATTACTTAGAGGATATAAACATAACTGTTAGGCGTTCGGATTTTTGTAATGTAACCACACTGTCACCTTACAATAGTAAACTGGAAAATTTATACCTTTTATTCTTGGAAAATAAGATTAGTTGAATGATCCAATTCGAGAGGACATCAGTAAGTTCAAACCTAGTTCATTTCATAGCTATTTTGAGCAAAAGTAGAAACCAAGATCAATTGATAATGAAAACACTTCTTGAGATTTAACAACAAACCTACCAGATTATACTCATAGTATATACAATAAGATCAACCACCACAAAATATGCAATAATTAACTTACACCAAGTGCAAGGGGAGTTGAGAAGAATTCACATTCCGTAACATCTGACTGAACAAAAGCGCATTCTACTATACCCGCCCGACCACTCATAGCCTCCAAGAGAGAGGTAGCAAATCTTGCTCCAGCATAGGCCATCGATAATGTAGCAGATCCCTGAACAAGATACAAAGTAAGCCGCATTAGGATTATACCTTCAGACAGAGGCATTACGTGGCTTTTAATATGAAGAATGTCTAAAATTTAGGACAAACTACTATCAGATGCAGTACGTATGAATGCATATCTTATAAAACAAAAACCAAGATCTAACTCTGCACTAAGATACCTTATAAGTGATAAACATTGGGAATGTAAAACTGTTGAATCTGAGGAGTCATTTGTCATTTTAGATATCAAAAATTGACGCGACTGGTAATCCTAATTAGTGTGAATCCGATTATAACCTAAGCAATGAACCGGACCAGTTTCTTTCAGCAGAGTTAGAACTATGCTAGACTGTTTAATGGTATATATAGTAAATATTTTAAAAAATTTAATTTGGCCATACAAAAAGAAACTTTATCCTTTACAGACAGTACACTGGAATTACTATTTGGCTCATTGTAGACAATTTTATTAGCAACTGAATTGATATAATAAGATCTTCAAGATATTTCCTGCTTAACTACACGACAGAGATAACTAGTAACACATACGCGTGACTGAAGCCCCAACGTGGTGGTTTAAATCTATGGTTTTAAAGTTGTTTACAGTGTACGGTATCTACTGTCTTGCTTTTGTTAGAAAGATGTTATCTATAGACTTTATAAACACCAGACAAAACTGGAGTAAGAGACCAATAGTGGAATTCAGGATGCGCGTTTCGTCCTAGTTAGGACTCGTCGTCAGTTGGATGTGCCTGCGTTTCGCAGTGAGTGACGATGTTCCCACTGAGGTTCCAACCTCCTAACCATAGTTGCGAGCGCCAAAGCGTTATCTACCAGACACCATTTGGGTCATAATAGCCACCTCTTGTGAGATGGGCATTAGCAATTATCTAATTCAGTTCGGAATTTCCCGTTGATTGATTGAAACAAAGTATTCGACCTCCTTGTATAGATGCCGACCTGAGACTGAGCACTTTGTTTCCATCAATCAACAGGAAAGTTCAAACTGAACTGAATAGCAGACAAACCTGTTAGTGAATACTGCAACACAATTATATTGAGGTAATAATTCTCAAGAACTTGGCAGGTCACAAAGAATATTTCCAACAGCCTGTTGCAGACCTTTATCAACAACTGTCTTCGCTGCATCTATACTGAAGATCAGATGACCGGGTAGGAAAGAATCACCAACAAGAAACTATGGCTGGGAACAAACAAAACAAGAACCAGTCGCCAACCAACAAATATGCAGGAGAAAGTGAAGATGGATTGGACACTCACTGAGGAGGCCGCTGGGTGACATCGCGCGCGCGTCAGGCCATTGCTCGAGTGGAACCCGAAAAGGAAGCGGCGAGAGGACGTCCAGGGGTGACATGGAGGAGATGGTGTGAAGAGGATTTGAAACAGGATGGACTGACATGGATGCAGGTGAAAAGTACAGCAGAAGACAGAAGCAAATGGAGACAGGCAGTTAAAGCCCTATGTTCCACTAGGAACCCAAGGGAACAACAACAAGGCTTCTCAAGACAATAGCGAAGCCTTTAAAGGTGGGAATGGCTAGAATTTATGAACCTGCATGCATCTATAATTCTGGTGAAATTACAGACGTCAATTCTCGAAATCAAGCATAGCAACACAGTTATAATCTCTAGGATAATGAAACATAAGACAAATACATATGTAGTAATGTGAGTTTCTTGATATCACCTATGCACGACAGGAAGATGGCCTAACGAATGGCTTAACCATGAACACACTAAAATAGTAGAAATATAAAGTACACGATATTTCTTCGACTATAATTAAAACTTTAAGATGGTGAGGATATATCTACAGACTTTTGATTAACAATTGAAATGCCTTTCTTATATACCTGATATAGAATTATAAAACCACCCATTGAAAGCAGTCGATACATTGTAGTTAACAAAATGGACTAAATAAATGTGAGTCATATCTACTTAACTTCTTTGCCACCCCTTAGTACTTCAGTTATGCTCTGAATAAATTACTTGGTGTCAACGAGACTTTTCTAACATTCATTGAAATTCATAAGATTGTTTGACATTCCTTCACTGAATAATTTCTCTTGCAGGAAATTATCAGTTAAGAAAAAGAAATGAGTTGTTGAGAAACGATTGAAAAGAGAGATAATTGAATGTATATCATATGCAAGAAACTTACCATTCCAGCTTTCGCTTCAACAACCTCTGTACCAGCTTCTTGTATACGTTTAGTAATTTTTTCCCGTTCATCCTTTGAAATGTCAAGAGAAAATTAACAACTCACATGAAATACTTGTAAACAATCATTGAACAATTCGAATTATCTAGGCAGACAATATTCATAAGCAAAACTGTTAATAAACCTTTCTTTTGATAATGAATTATGTTTAATAATTCGCATAGTAGTGTTGTTCAAAAGTGAATAATACCTACATAAACAATGACAAATAGAATAGCTTGTTAAAGCGGCAGTGTACACTTCGGCTTAAGACTCATGAGTCTAACATATGAATACAATATTTTAACTCTGATTTGCTCTCTCAACGGTTAAAGAAGTTCCTTTTGTGACAGCTCCATAAAACGGGACGTTTTTAAAAATGAAAGACACTATACCTGTGGAAATGACACATGGGGAGTACACTGAGAAATCACCGGGAGAATTGTAATACCTGAGTGACCACCAATGACAGGACAAGAAACTTTCCGTACAGCAAGATCCTGAAAGGAAATAGGTGAGTTTTACAAAATGAAGTTTACCTTCGCCTGAGCGATAAAGGTATTTGATCGTATGACATCAAGCGTAGTAACTCCGAAAAGACGCTTGGGATCATATGCATTATGACGTTTTAGAATTTCTGCTGCAATTGGCACAGTGCTGTTGACAGGGTTTGTGATGATGCATATCATCGCCTTTGGACAGCTTTTAGCACATTCATCAACGAGCTGAGCAACAATAGATGCATTTGTATTGAACAGATCATCACGTGTCATCCCTTAAGAAAATCAAGCGAACAGTACAAATAAGCGGTCGGTCGAGAAGTTAAAGACTGATATTACTAAAATTTAACAACCTAGTACACTCGTAGAATTTAAAAAGACATAATACTAGCAATACAAGTGAACTGTATTGGACGGTAAGATCTAAATAACATTTCAAGTTCAAAAGATGAGTATACGGTCTGAATATTAAGGTCTTATCATCGAAAAGGTTGAAATTTGGATTTGTGTAGTGAATTGTATAAATGCTTGAAACTGTCCGACTCTTGACACTTGGCATCAAATAAGTCTTTCTCACTTCACTCATTATTTAAGGTGTACTCATTTTAAATTACCGAATTTCCGCAAGTTTGGACTAATGGCCACTGAATTATACTTACGGATTCGTCGGTAACATCAAAACAGATATTAATTCAGACTTCATTCAAATGGAAAAATATAATATCTGACTACCACTAACATTCGCAAGTGTTGTTTTGCATAACCCCTGTGATTTGCAGAGGACTAATCTGTTATATCGTCTTTCCATAGTCCGAAAATTTGGGTAGAATTCATTGGGACAATACCTGGTTAACGTTCCATTGACTTTAAGCAGTAAACCCTTGGAGACTAAGTAGAAGTCCAGGGTTACTTATAATACCATTCACCAGCTTCATTAGGGTTACTATACATCTACCTTACCACAATTTGTATAAGTAGCTTTAGATTGTATAGGAGACTCACTTTCATGTACTATAAAACTAGGAACCAACAATACAGTAATTTGGTTTAGTAGCGAAGCTTTCGTTATCCTTCTAGCCATTTTCCACTACTTTAAAATCATACAGCAAGTTAGGTAAATGAATGCATAATCATCATTAGGATTGGATTAGTATCGATACATACACGAATTAGCAGTATTTATGATGGACTACATTGCAAATGAGTATTTAATAGATTATTTTGGCCTACGTCTAGTCCCAAATGAGTGTAAATAAGAATTTATCATACATAATACTAAGCAGCAAGTGTTAAAGGATTTGCTGGAAGTAAAGATTTACGACTGTCGCTTTAGATGAACTTTTCCTGAAATTCTGAAGGTTGAATAACTCCTATAATATAAATACAAACGACCCTATACTACCCAATCTAGTGTTGATATCGTGACAGACCCGCTAGTACTTTGTTTTATGCAGTACGACTCTGGGCCCGAAAATTACACATTCGTGTCAAACCGTCCCATTTGAAAAATCTCCCCGTGAACATGAGTCAGTGGGGAAAATCGTAGGACGCTTCCCGTTCAATATTCAGGGTGTTTAGTAGCTGACATGGGGAAGATGAGATGTGTGGAAAGTGGGGCAAATGGGGAAATGGCCTAGAATTTCGCATTGTCTTATTGGTTCAAGCATGCTCACATATATGGGTGGGATACAATATACTATTGAGGCATTTGTAAGCACAACACATCCACAAGATAAAACAAAAATACAGATCCACAAACCAAACTGTATACCTTAATTCAAAGCACGGGGTAAACTTACCGGGCTTTCGCGGCATACCGGCTGGAATGACGACGACATTTGCACCAGTCAGGCAATCTGCAAGTTCTGCTGGTCCAAGGTGGGATGTCACAGTCGCCTGGGTTTCAATGTGGCTAAGGTCTGCAGCCACACCTTTCACATGGGCTATATCGTACAGTGAAAGATGAGAAATTAAGGGCGACTGTTTCAAAAGAAGTGATAAAGGCTGTCCGATACCACCACTTGCACCTAACACTGCAACTTTTTGAGCAGACTGTCAAACATGCTATTAGGTAAATGTGCAATGAGCTACCTTAGAAACAGTTACGAAACTCCTCAAATTAACTGCAAATCTGAAAACATTAACACCCTTCGAAAACATTTTTGAACAAGGCGCCTGGTATAGGAGATGGAGTTCACTCGAGGAGACAAAGTAACAATATTGTTCAATGTAAATATCAAAAATTACATATTGCAGGAGCTGTTCACATTTTTGTCAACAGAAACGACGAATCTGCCAAAAATAGAAGCAAAATCCTCCTTACATATTCCGTATTCTTATTGAAATTCAAGTTCTCCGTTATCTGGAGCTTTTATCAACTTCTTATATCCACCGAGGGAATCTTCTGACTGTGAGTCTGCTTTATCTTTCCGTTGTCTAGATGTGGAAGTGGCGTTGGTATTTTGGCATACAGCATGGGATATCTGCCTCCTTATATCTGTATCATGCGCAGATAAGAATTTTGCGTCTAAAACCCTGAAGTGGCCAATACGTCTCTCTCACCGATAGTATACTGTTATATTATTATTCCCTTGCATTCCAAGTGGGAAATAGGGCTTTATATTGTTTTCTGCCGCCTTCTCCAGCTGGGTTCACGATTGACCAAGCTCTCTCATCTCTTCCTCACACGATTTCCTCCATGTCACCCTCGCACTGACGACCCACTCTTCGCTTCCCATATTTTCCATTCGAGGGCCTGGCGCGCGATGTCATTTGGTGGCTTCCTGAATATATTCCCGATCCATCTTCACTTCCTCATAAATATGTGCTGAGCGATTGGTTGGTGTATTTCAATGGTTTCTTGTTGAACATTCTTTATGGCCATTTGATCTTCAGTATGGAGCAAGCGAATGCAACCTGTAGGAAATTCCTTTTCGTGACAAGTTTTTGACCCGTATAGAATAACCGACTTCACAATGGTGATGAAAATGCGAATCTCATTTCTTTATGCCAAGTAAAGAAGATTTCAACTCTGATGAAGGCGTATCTTGCCTTTCTGATTCTGAATTTGACATCTTCGTCCTTTCCATCTGCAAGTCTTCGATTTTGTGTGACATTAGACATATATCATCTGCGAAACCCAGATCTCCTGTGGTCTTCTTTTCGGTCGTCCAGCTTGTTTCTGTCTTTTCATTCACTGTGCACAGTCTAATGCATAATCCAGTCCATAACAATTAAGAATATCATCAGTGGTAATAGGCAGCCTTGTCTTATTCCTGTATTTCCTTCAAATTCCTCGCTGAATTTTCCGTTGTGGATCATCTGACACATGGCTTTGTCATATAGCTGTCAAATGAGGTTGAAAAAGAATTGAGGTACGCCGTAGTGCTGAAGTAGTCTTCAAATCACTTCCCCGTCTACACTGTCAAAGGCATTTCCGGAGTCGATAGAGTTGAGATAGAGGTTTGACTACCAATCTATGCATTGATCGATCACGTGCTTAGAGTTGCAATTTGATTTACCTTTCCTGAATCCAGCTTATTTCAGTGGGTCTGATAGAGTTCTGCATCCAGTGCACCCCTCATTCTCTCCAAGAAAATGTGACTTAATATTTTACTTGACATGGACAAGAGCACACTAGTTCCACGCTAGTTCTTGCAGAGTGAGGTGTAAGTCGCCCGTCTTTGGCAATCTGACGGGGTAGTCCTTCTTTCAATCAGTGGGCACCTTTCCTTCTTTCCAAGCTTTTTGCAGTAATGAAGTGAGAACATGTGCCATCATCTCTGGGGCCATCTTCAGTGCTTCGGGGGGAATGTCGTCTGGTCCTGCTTGATCGCATTTGGAATTTCGGCTTTCATTGGAGGAGTGGTGTCCACTGGGATTTCCGCGTGTGCTTTAGGTGGTGGCAGTATCTCTGGGTGAGTTGCCATTGCTGGTTGATTCAAGAGTCCCTTAAAGTGATCAGCCCATTGTTTGACTTGTTTTTCCTACTTGGCAATCAGCTCCCCTTGGTCATCTTTAATTGGTTTCATCATCTGGGTATATCTCTTCCCGGATAGAGACCTGGTTATATTATATAATGTTTTGAGGTGTCTTTTACCTGTAGCCTGCCTGTTCTGCTTTATTTGCTAGTCATTGTGTCGTAGAACTGTCGTTTGCCTTAAATATCATTCTTCGTCACGCCTCTCTGTATTCAGTGCAGTGTACATTGAACTCAACTTCTGCTTCTGTTGTCCGTCTTTCGATTGAGTCATCCCAAATTTCACCATCCTCATATCTTCAATTAGCTAACAGGTATCCGTCGACAGCCATTCCTTGTCTTGTCTCTTCCTTCGTTCTAGAGCGGTTGTACACATGAATGCCGCACAAACTCACCAGAGGTTTATAGCGGGCTTTTTCGTGAACTGCCTTACGCCAAAGAATACGTAGATGACCTACTTTCCGTTACCACGGGTGTCAATGTAGTTGAAGATTGAACGATAAACTCATGGTTGTTTGCTCAAGCCCAACTTCCCTATATTCCCCCGGAGACATCGATACACCAGTCATCGTCACATCGGTCGCTGTTCAGAAAGAAGTCAGGCCAAAACTGTCAGAAAACTTAGTTAAAGCTTAATTTTAAAGTAGGCTATAGCTTGGTGTTACAATAAAGAATTCTCGAGTGGCCAATCGGTCTTTTGGTTTTGCGTCCGTTATTACTAAGCGTTTCTGAGAAACTTCAAGGGATAGCGTGAGTCTCAGCGTAGCAAGAGCTGGGCATTGACGGTTTACGAGATGTGGCTGACAGTTTCTGACAGTACAACGTCAGTATTCAAACGGTTTTGGACATTTGGTGAAAGATTGGATAGTCACCGTTCATTTTCCTGGTGCCCGCCAAGTCTTCTTTGAACAAGCAATATCTGGAACATTTTTGGAATTGCGTCAAGTTCAACAATGCCTGGGTCAAAGAAGGGACACAGCGTCTTGGATGCAAACAGGAAAGTAAGTCATGTTGACTTGTCTGTTACTTGTAACGATGTGTCTGATGTTAAGCATGACATGGTTGATGTTACTGTTTCGCCGTTCAGGGATAATAGGAACATCAAACTCCCTAAATTAGAACCACGGTGTTTCGATGGAAACCCAGCTGATTATTTACAATTTGTAAAGGAGTTTGAGATCATGTTGAGTAGTTTTCTATTAAGTCATGAATTGAAGTTAATGTATTTGATGAGATATTGCACTGGAGATGCTGCAAGAGCTATATATTGCTGTAAGTTTATGAAGCCAAAAGAGGGCTACTACGAGGTTATGAGCATACTACGTCAAAGGTTTGGAAGAACTTCGATGATTGTAGGGAAATTATTCGAGGCTGTTAAGGGTAATGGTGGCCAATTACAGGATGACTCCAAGACACTCACTGAGTTTTTGGATAATCTTATGACTTATAAGAATACGTTGATTTCGATGAATCGCATGAGTGACCTCAACTCGAGTTTTATACTAGAAGTAATAGCAAGACGCCTACCTACTCGACTGCAAAGGAAGTGGGTGAAGATGAGCTCCCGTATGGAGGATGAGGGTATCGAGCCAAGGTTTGATGATATCCTGAAACTGGTAAATACTAGTGTCAATCAATCTATGAGCAAGTTTGCCAGTATATTGAGTCTCACCCCTAGAATAGAGCAGTCTGAGGGAAAAGCGCAATCATTGATGACTAGTAGGCCTCAAAGAGGTGGATATCGTACGCAAGCTTCAGTCGTCTACACTCTCGCTCCCCGGCGTTTGGGACCGCAGCTGACAATTATCTCCGTATGCATGTCATTCTCAGCAATAGCGCCCCCGGTCTAAACGACCCAACTTCAGAAGTAATCACGCCGAAAATTTTAACAAAATTACGTAATAACAACAAGGTACCAAAACAACAAGTAAACACAATTGGTCCAAATAAACCAGCTGATATCACACACCACACGTATATACAAAAAGTACACACAAACCCGCAGATCGTGTCTCCATGGAATTCCTTTGAAGAATTGCAGGACTTACAGCAGTACGCCTACAACCCTTCTCAGGTTGACGCTCTAGGTTGGAAAATCGTCGAAGAGTTCAATTGCTAACTTCCTTCTATCAGCTATATCCTCAAATCTGAACGGCAACACGCCCATGTCATTGTATCGTAGAATATAGATGACGAACAAACACACGACATATCTCATCAACCAAGTGTAGAAACAGAGTAATTTACACCAAAGATAATAGCCTTCAATTAGTAACTTGAAACTAGAAATGCCTTTATTCGTGCAAGTCAATTTAACAATTACTCTCTCGTTTACACTTGGCTTATCCTCTCTAAACTGAGAAATATCTTTCGTCTTTTCAAACGCACCAATATTATCATAGTCACTGAATAAGGCACGTGAGTTCATGGACGTCCATTTCATTGTGGGTGAAAACACCAACGATGACTGAGTGACACAAGGTGATGAACTTAGCGGTGGATCAAAAGCTGTTGTTGCTGGGCTTTCAGAAAGTTGTCTAACTGCAAGATTACCACCACCGCTGTCTTTCACTACTAGTTCGGGTTTAGCACTATCATCTAATGATAGGTGGGCTACATGCTGATCACTCACACTGACGGTCTGACAAGTATGCATGCCTTCTGCAACTGAATCTGCATTAATTTCTACTTCACGTTCAAGTTGTACAGAATCTTTGTTCAACTCAGCAGTAGCAGGCATATCTATCATCTCATCATGATCAACCAAAGACAAATCTGTACTATCATGATCATTATCACGAATATTCACTTTACCGTCAAGTTCATCATTTTCAAACTCTTTAGTAACAGAAGTAGACAATTTTGGTTCCTCCTCACAAATCATTAAAGGTTTTACATCTTCACTCTGACTAGTAATACCTTGTAAACTTGTGGAGTCAGAACTCCACTCTGAAGCAGTAACTCTATTCTGTGACACTCTATTCAGCAACGGCTTACCAGTTGCAACTACAGACTTCTTCACCTCACCGTTATCGTCACACAATTCGGAGTAAGGACTGGAGTTTACATTTAGCTTATCACTAAACTTGCTCTCTGATTTACAGTTCACCTTTGTATGCACTTCAAGCAAACATGTAAAACACAACCGTGTTTGTCGTGCGTCTTGCAACTTATCTGTTGAGGATGTACTACGAAACCTGTTACACTCACTAGGTCTATATGCATTACTAGACATCATGG